TGCCTAGCTTGCTGGGACACTTCAGGACCACCTGCCTAGGGATGGTGCTGCCCACAATGGCGCTCCCACATCTATTAACAATGAAGAGAATCCCCTGCCCCAGACATGAGCAGAGGTCATCTGACCTAGGCAGTTCACCCTCTGAGGCTCCCCTCTTAGGCTCCCTGAAGCTAACCAGGGGGGCAGTTGTTGCCCTGAGCTGGGAGGTTTGGCCCTCTCGGCTTACTCTCTAGATGATCTTGCGAAAAACCATGACACCTGTTGTGTATCGTTGTGACCTCAGGGCTTTCCATGAAGTCTGGCATGTGACTTTTCCTGGGGAGACCCAAAGGAACGTCTATGGCCCTAGACAGTGGTCAACAAGAGACTAAGGAAACGACTGAGCCCCAGTTCAGCTTGTTGAACGTTGCATCAAGTTTATAGGGTCACTTATGGGGGCATGGGAAGCTGAATTGCCAAAAATTTACCCACCGTGGGTAAAGAGTCACAAAAGCTCATATCTAGAGTCCCCTGCCCAATAGTGGACAGGTCCACCAAAGAGACTCCCTACTGGAGCGATTGCTTACTGCATCTGTAGCCATCGGGAGGGACATGGTGTTTCTCGTACCTCTCAAGAGAGTCCGGAGGGGAGCTTCCTAAGCCTCTAAGACTCTCCTTGTCCTTTTGAGTTTCATGAGCCATCCCCACCCTCTTGGAAGGAATGTTTCAGCTCAGAGCAGATAGCTGCACATCCAAGTTCAATAAATAAATAAATGACGAGCACCTGAGGGTGTGATGATGGCGATAGGGATGGAGGAGGCCATGATGAGGTCGATAGGGATGGAGGAGGCCATGATGATGGCGATAGTGATGGAGGCGGCCATGATGATGGCGATAGTGATGGAGGAGGCCATGATGATGTCGATAGGGATGTTTGAGGCCAGGATGATGTCCATAGTGATGGAGGAGGCCAGGATGATATCGACAGTGATGGAGGAGGCCATGATGATGGCGATAGTGATGGAGGAGGCCAGGATGATGGCGATAGTGATGGAGGAGGCCAGGATGATGTCGATAGGGATGGAAGAGGCCAGGATGATGGCGATAGGGATGGAGGAGGCCAGGATGATGGTGATTGGGATGGAGGAGGCCAGGATGATGTCGATAGTGATGGAGGAGGCCAGGATGATGCTGATATTGATGGAGGAGGCCAGGATGATGGTGATTGGGATGGAGGAGGCTGTCTTTCATAGGCTTAGACTGACTGCTGAATCTGGTTTCTAGCTTATGCCAATTTGGGACATTTTAATGACATTATTTTATTTATTTATTTTAGTGATTAGCCCTAGGGGAGTATTTACAGGACCATAATCCACCATTGTGATGAAGCAGGGCTCACCCACTCAAGAACCCGCAGTCCCACACTCTTGCACACC